ACGAGTCTAAATTCATGCTTTATAAGCATGATGGTAGGCAGTTGGTGTACAGAAGACCAGGGGAGATGCGTGAAAGGTCGAAACCCCCCACCAATCACGCTTCCCGAGCTCAAACAAGCACTGGTGGAGGAACGGGAAGGTATTCCTCAGCACCGGCTCCGAAATTTGGTGTACAGCATGCCTAATCACCTGGAAGCTGTCAGAAGAGCTCGTGGAGGCAATACAAAGTATTAAATGAAGAAAGTGATAAAAAACAGCAAAAAAACAATCATAAAAAAATGTAATCTTAAGAAAAATGTGACTACTTTAGTTTTTTTTTTAATTTACAGATAAGTTAAGAGTTCGAGAGTTTAGATTTAAGTTTTATTTTATTTTTTATCTGTATAATTAAATTCTCAATTGAACAGTCTTCGTTTCATTAGGATGGCATACGTAGTTCGGGAGATATTCGGGTTTATGTGACTGACCCGTTATTTTTGGAACCGAGTTTAGATATAGCAAAATAGCCAAAGTGATGGGCCTCACAGAAAATCGGTGTTAAGCAAATGTTTCGCTGCTTTGCATCGAGTTAGTTAACCCACACCTACCCCTTCATTCCAAGAGTGACGGTACATTTGTGTCCCTTGAATAGCAGGAGCCATGAGCGTCTGTACAACTGTCACAAAACAAAAAATAAAAATAAAATAGTTAAACACCTTTTTGTGAATGTGAATCTAAGTCCGTGTAGTGACGGATTAAGAATATGTCACCACCCCTATTCATCCCATGGGTGTCGTAAGAGGCGACTAAGGGAGCAAACTATGCAAGACAATAGCACTGCAAAGAGATGAAAAACTTGACACAAATCCTACAATCCAACCCGTCTGGCCAGCGTGGTATAGTAGGCCAAAACCTCCTTTCTAAGGAGAGGCCTATGTCCAGCAGTGGACTATTAAAGGCTTTTGATGTGTGTGAAAAATGAACCAACTCGAACGGAGTTATTTATTTAATACTTCCTGCAAATACATTGCATAAGGCAGACTTAATGCCATAGGCATTTTATCCAGTTTCGTCAACCTTTGGGTGATACAGAGCTGTGTGTGGCAGGTGAATAATTGAAGCTAGTGAATGAATTACCAGTCGATACCAGACGAAAATTTTTTTAGGCGACAGAGGTCACGCAAAATGTTTGTGACCTTCTGACTAATACTAGATACTTATGGTGGCAACTCAGAGTTATACAGCATATATACAACCTTCCAATATCAACCGTTGGGCCGTGCCCGCCAGGCATGATCACCTCGCCTAGTCGGAGGATCGCCCCTTTGTGTTGGATTAGCATGACACCCGTTTCTCCACACGTATAACCAATGCAAATCAGTTTATTAGTTTCTAAGATGGAAAAAACCCATAAACCTCCTTTAAGCTACGCTGTTGTCGGGCACTGTGACTTATTCAAACTCTTTTAATTAAAAGAATTTCAATATATTCTAAGTATCATATTTCCAATAATCGCACATAAAATTATTCTACATCAGTGTTAGTGAGATATAATCATTTTTCACCTGAGATAAATTTTTATTCTCTGTTTGGACATAATCATACAAACTCCGGGAGTGTGTTTTTCGTCCCCAGGTTCGGGGTAATTCTAATTAGATCACGTAAGGGCTGGACACTAAATTATTACGTTTATATCCCTGTTTGTGGACAAAGAAAAAACGTAGAAAAGTATTAGGGATCAGTAAGGGTATCGTAAAAAAAACTGTAACCATTATAAGTTAATTTGATTGTATAAAAAGCAGATAAGTGCGAGTATGACTGGCGCACTGACGCGAAGGTTCCCCCCAAACTTTAGGTAGATAAGTACCTAGAACATCTCGGAAACCGATTGTAGTAGATTTTTGAAAATTTGGTGACAAAATTAACTTTACCGTTATGAAAATATTTCTCCATATGCATATATACGACACAGCATTTTTTCCGAGCGCAAAATTTAAGTTTGTAATGATAAAAATTATATGACATAATAATTAATGAAATTCATGAAAGAATAAATTCGTGATGTAAGGAATACCTATAGAACTTTTTCAAGCAACTGTAATAACGATTGTAAACTCGTTTTGAATCAAATCATGCTCAAGATGTAATCACGTTACAATATTTTTCTACAACTGAAAGTAGTTATATCTTAGCAATAATTCAAATCTCCAGGCCGGGTTTCAGACTTCTTAAAAATATATTATATAATTTCGAAAGCTGCGATTTTCCACGTACCGCGACATAGTTCTAACAATCGGCCATCTTGACCTTTGTCTGACCTGAGGCACAATTATACAATATGCAACGGTAACATAATATTCGTAATTATCAATTTTTATAAGTCCAAACAACTGGACCGATTTTGATAAAAAAAATTATGTATATTCAGTGGATTCGAGAATGGTTAACATTCAAAATTCGGTCCACTATTGAATGTTTTCTTTTTTAGTTAAGAAGTGTGTACAGGACATCGTCTGTCAGGGTCTAGTATTTATATAAATAAAAACACATAGTTCTAACACAGCTAAAATAAAATACAGGCCATACCGATTAACACATCTATACAAATAAATAAAATTGGAGTGTCTGTTTGTAATATTAAAATAACCGCTTTTTACTAAATGCATATGCATGTTTACACGGTACATATGCCAAAATATCATTTTTTACAAATTTTTTCTGTCTTTCTGTCTGTTTGTTCCGGGTAATCTCTGGAACGGCTGAAACGATTTCGACCGGACTTTCACTGGCAGATAGCTGATGACATAAGGAGTAACTTAGGCTACTTTTTTTTAGACTAGCTTCGCCCCGCGGCGTTGCCCGCGGTTATAACAACAAACGCGGGTAACACCGCGGGTCTCAGCTAGTTTACAATATGCCATAAAACTACAGGCTCTATTGTTGCGTATGAATTTAACCAAGGCAAGAGTATTTATTTGGAAAAGTAGTTATAAGTATATTAACAAAAGCCGGTAGTTGTCTCATAATAGATTCGCGCGGTCGATAGCTTCTTAGACATTAAAAAAAAATGAAATCTTCGCATGGGTCGGATATGCACGCGGTGTCATACATCAAAAATTAGAATAATTTCGGTTGCTTCGGATGCGCGTGGTATCGCCGTGTTGTGTGTCATTTTTTGTAACTGTTATTGGTTAGATCGTGTACTGAGAGGTTGGAGAATACGGCCGTGACCAGTGGAGCATCGGATCCTGGTTACGGAAATACGGGTTGGGACTAGATTGGTAACTTAGTTTATTAAAATATTCATATACAAGACAAGATAGGGAACATTTACACATCACAGGGTTCCGAGCAGACGACAGATCAGAGGTAAATGGCTAAATTCTTCTTTTGTACAGCTCTGAGCTATCGCGGAACATTTGGGGTCGTGAGGGAATCATCAATCATCATGATCATCATCATCAACAGCCTTTAATAGCCCACTGCTGGACATAGGCCTCCCCTTAGAAAGGAGGTGGGGGAATACCAAACAGTGTTTTTTAAATTTCTTATTGCAGTTATTTTCTTTTAAAAATTAAATTAAGGTAATGTTTTCTTTTAATAAGCTACCCCCGAAATTTTGAAGCCAAACTTTTTCTCAGGTTATGCTTCAAAATTTCCATCCTGCACAAATAAAATATAATATACACGTTAGACTAATACATCATTATATATTTTTTCATGAAATTATCTTTACCCAAGGCTAACTTGGATTAAAAATAAAATGAGTTTTTCAAATTTAAATAAACTGTGTATGATTTTGTATATTGTATATATTGAACACATAGATTATAAAGCATGTATATTTACCTAACTGGAACGAACGTGACATATATCTCTCATGTTCCCATGCACCCTGAAATATAGAGCCAAAGTTTCATGTTTCTATTAACTGATATCGCTTCTGCGTTAACAGTCTCGAAACTGTAGCAAAACAAACGCATGATGTGTGGTCCGGCCTCGGAAGACAGACACTAAACGATCGATTCTAGGATGAATTATGATTCGGACCTCTGGATTGCCATCGGACTTTGTCAGGTAATCCTCTATAGCAGCAGACAGCTTAGTAAGAACATATTCGTAAATGAAGATCAATAAATCTATTCACCATCATCATCTTACCCTTTTCCCAAAATTTATTTGAGAAAAGCTTGAGCTTTAGCAATGAGTTTTCATCTTTCATTCTTTTCTATCACTTCACTTCCCACTTTAGTTTACTGCTTTCTCCCTATCTAGACATAACTTCTTTCACTTAGTTCATCCATCTTCCCATGGTCCCAGTGGGGGTTGGACCCACAATACTCAGCTAGTAGTAAGCGGCGTGGCGACCGCTTAAACCACTACAATATCCGTGTCCTTGTAGTCTAGATTTTTAACTACTTTTACTACTACTTACTAATTGCTGTAATATAAACATACCGAATTTTAAAACGGTCCTGAGCACCTGAGCACTTATTTTTATTAAAACAAAGATCTCTACGCATAAACTGCAACCTGCCCACCAAACGAGTAAAACATTGACCTAAAATTGCGAAAATGCATAGACGGGTCATATTTCCAGGCAGCAAATAACATGTTTGTGTGGTAACTAAAGTCGTTCGGTTAGATTTTACCATCGCAACGACGATTAAAACAAAAAATGTTCTCTTCTATTTTATCTCGTTATTGTAATAAAGAGATGAAATATCTTACATCTCATTCCAAACATTATATGACGTATTACAGTTTACCAGAGGTCACAGGTTTCCACAGCAATGCACATATTTGATGAGTTTCTTAATTTGTTTATGTGATTGTTCTTGTAACGATGTCTGGGGGATCGGGCTCGTGTGCTTGCACGTGGACGATCCTGTGATTAAATGGTGCAGAGAAATTACATACTCAAGTCACTTTTACAGTTTGTAATTGATTTACAAAAGAAAACATTACAATTATTAGATTTAGATACAATTTAGCTCAAGGTGGAGTCTCGGCGGCTTTGATCAGGGTGGCGGCCGTACTACTAAACCTGAAACTGTGGTGAACATTTGCTTAGGGTGCAGCCCGGAGTGAAGTGTCCAGCGCTGCGCTCGTCCCTTGTTATATGCTCCTGTGCGGCGTGAAACGGCGAGGGGGAGTCCTGGTGGGAGACTGGATGGCGTGACTTGACACACTCCCACCACCATGCCAGTATTTTTCCTCAGAGAAAATTCTCTTCTTCCCCCGTAGCGTACAGCTCTTCTCTGGTACCCTTGGTTAGTTATATGACTAGTAAGATACTGAGTAGCATATTTCAGAACATGATATTTATACAACCTAAGAGGTCGCACTCGCAATTTCGTAGCCATCATTTTCAAAAGACGAACAGCAGCCATGAAAATGAGCGGTGTTGGCGAGCCGCAACCCGGGCAGGGTTGATCAATCAGCTCATCAACAGCCACGACCACTCTGGTAAGAGTATCCGACTAAGAAGAACTTTAATTTTGTAATATTACTCACCGATTGTTTGGAATCGTCTTTTCTCTTTGAACTTAAGTTTATAAATTAGATCAACACTTCATGTCTGTCAATATGTATCCAATCAGTACACGTGATTTCTAAATAGATTTTATCGCCACAATAGGTAAAATACCATTGAATTGTTGGATTAATAAATATTCTTGCTGTAGACTGGTCTATTGGCTTAGTGGTTAGCTGTCCAAATCGCTAACCAAAAGGTCATGACTTCGATTTATACCCAGGACAAAAGTTATGTGGAGAGCATGATCATTGGTTCTGGTTGTAATTTATCTATAATATGTATCTAGGTAGAAGTCTATTTGTCGTGAGTGGTTCTTTAATACGCCTCTGTTTACCTCTTCAGGGATAAACGCCGTGAATGTTAATGACATAACAATTAACTTTACATGATGTTACCATGTCTACACTAAACTCATACTACTTATTGAGCTGCTGAGTTGCGGACCGGAGTAATGCTTTACCATGAAATGTTCATTCAAAATCGAATAGACCATTGATTTTTTAAGGCAGATACGTTATATTCATACTGCATGCACAAAATATTTCTACTGTAAGAATTTTAGAATAAAACATATACTTACCTGTGGTATAATATTAATTTATCTTTATTTACCTTCTTGACGTAATTTGCATTTTATTATTTTTTTCGAATTAATTAGTACGCGCGCTCGCTCGTAGTTGTCCTGAATGAAATGATATTTATTTCTGTAGGTAAATCTTTTTAGATTTTTTTACAAGTCGGACTTTACAGCTAGAAGGAGCCGGCATTTCCTAAGACTCACTCTGGGAAGAAACGCCGAAACAAGAAAAAAAGCGCGTTCTGTGCGTTTGTAGCGTATTTACTTCTTGTTTGTATATAATATAATTGAAATAGACTATAACTATACGATGTTCCGTTACAAATAGGTCGATTACAAGGGACCGGATGGGACCTAATAAGGAAACACCCTTGGCCTTATATACTTCTTGAAATTCAATACCATAGCGGGGTTAAACCGCGCCCGCCTTAGACATAAATGTATTATGCACATATACGGAATAACGTAATCGCGTAATAAATTCCATGACTTAGAATTGGCTGATGTTTTGACCAGGATGGACAGGCTGTAATCGCAGGCTGACTGACTCAATGGTAGTAAAGTTCGCGACTCCAAATCCAGTTGAATTGCCAATCTATATTCATATACTTATAAATATGGAAGTGAGTTTTTTTATTCGTTACGATTTCACGCCTAAATCACTAAACCGATTTTAAGAATTCTTTCAGCAATGGAAAGCTACATTATCAGCGAGTAACATAGGCTACTGCGAAGCTAGTAAAATATAATTCATCAATCATCAACAGCCTATACTAGTCCACTCGACATAGGCCTCTCCTTGGAAAGGAGGTTTTGGCCTACTATACCACGCTGGCCAGACGGGTTGGTATAAGGTTTGTTTCAAGTTTTCCTTCTCTTTGCAGTGCTGTTGTCCTGCTTAGTTTGCTCCCTTAGTCGGCTCTTACGACACCAACGGGATGAATTGGGGTGGTGACAATTTGTATTCTTAATCCGTCACCACGCGGACAAAATATAATTAGACGAAGTTAATAAGTAAATAAATAAAGATTTTATGAATCTGCAGAGGTATTATCTGTAAGGACGTTATATATTTATGAGATACTACGGAGATATCGTAGGAAAACAGTTTCTAACTTACCTGTACAAAATAAAAGAGTAGAGCGTTTTCCAGTCCCTCGCACTAAAACTAGTTTTGCACAAAAACACTACAACTTCTTAGCTCTACATACATATAACAAATGTAACAAAATCTGGAAAATAAGTAAATTAAATAACAATGCAGTGAAAAAGGCCATTCATACGTGGTTGTATTTCAGCACGGAATACCTAGTCACGATTAAATATACGTTACAAACAAGGAACTCACACACACAAAAATTCAAATGCTCGCACACACACATATACACAATCACACACGCACGCACCCGCAGACACATACACACACAAACACACACATACACACACACACACACACATAAACGCACGCACACACAAACACAATACAGGGTAAATAAAATTGCCGTAGATGGCCTGAGGTACGTCGGGGTACTAGGGCTTTCCTTTCTAGGATAGGTATACCTGGTTCCCCGGCAACTGGTACCTGGAGACGGCGTACGGTTTTTGGTCGGTTCGAGTCCGACATAATCACCCACTGGTGGGTGGTATCCGAGGGGAGTTCCGCACAGAAAAAAAGGGTAAATAAAATTAACCAGGTAATTACTTACTTAGTTTTTTTTCTCTGTTTTATTTGTTTGTCCTTTTTTTATTGTATTGCTTGTATATCTATGACATTGGGTCCTTTATATTACCTGCGGAAGACACTGTCTCCTGCAACACTGTCTCCTTAAACTAGCGCAGGAGTCAGGAGATTCTCAATATATGTACCAACTTATATGTCAATAAATTATTATTATTACTATTAAACGGTTACTCGAATAAATGTTCCTTATTATACTCGAAATTGATTTCCTTTTTACAATTATTCGATACTTACCATTAACGAGAGAATGATTTCACTTTAAATATTGGGATTTGAGTCTGTTTAATTACTTTTCGATTTAAATGAATGATTGATAGCGATGCCGACTCGATACTGGTTATCTAAACTCTTTGGCAGGGCTGGCGCGGCCAAGTTTTGGTATCATTAAAGTTGTTCGACCGTAATGAAAGTGTGTGTATTTAAGCTGTAAATTTTCTTATACCGATTTGTGTATCTTTCACAAATATGATTCCGTAATCTAAAGACGTCTGGGCAAATTATTGCTTAAAGATTTCGAAAACTAATTATTTATTGTCTTTGGCAAGAACAAACTTTTTTGTTTTATTATGTCTACAGTAATCAAGATTGGATATGATCAAGATGGCTGCAGACGTATGCTAAAAAATCTTTGGAGTACGAAACGCACAAAGGCATGAATACATACCCAGCTTTGAATCAAAGAAGAAGAAGAAGAAGTGCGCAGAGGCGTTGGAAATTATGAAAAACTCATTATAGTTGAGAACACTGAAAACAATGGGTCCCGTGGTCGTGCACCAATAAAGTGGACAAACCCAGTGAAAGACCCATCGTCCATCAAACTTTACATGGTGTCGAGAGACACCCTGGACAGGGACCGGTAAAGAGAGATCATTCGCTTCAGATACAACCCACCCAGATAAGCTCAATATTGTGAACACAGTCTAGTATTTCCAATGTTTTATTAAAGCCCTAGGTTTTAATTTAATTGATAAATCACGAACAGCCATTCAGCCTTCGATAAAACTAGAAATTAAATTGAAATGTTCTGTAGTTATTATCGTTTTGCGTTAGTTACTAATTAGTAGGTAGGGGTACAGACGGCTGAATAATCGCCCTTTGATCTTTATATTTAAAATTATCTTCTGTTACACTACGTATCCGCTCACTACTGGATGTTTTTGGGTCAGTAGAGCAGTTTTAAAATGGTACATATTATTATTTTATTTATGTAAAAACTGTCTGTATCATTTTCAAAAGAAATTGATAGCGCGAGTCAGAAATGTTTTTCCTTGATTTTTATCTGATGAATAAATACAATGTGATTTTTGTACTTTTAAACTTTCGCGTTCTTTGATATTTAAATAAGGTATTACATGTACTGGCCGATGTCAAATTGCGTCTATGTCTCTCCTGGTCGAAACGTGAGGCAATTCAAATCCATACTAATATTGTAAAGAGAAAGTGTGCCTGTCAGTCTATCTGTTACCTCTTCACGCTTAAACCGCTGAACCGATTTAGATGAAATTTGGTGTAGACATAGTTTGAGTCCCGGGAAAGGACATAGGATAGTTTTTATCCTAGAACTCACCCTTCGGGGGGTAAATGGGTTGAAGTTTGAATGGGGAATCAACAACCGCTGAACTGAAAATTTGCTATGGAGATAGTTTGCGTTGTGGGAAAGGACATAGGCTATTTAACCCGCCCGCGTATATATCAGTTATTGCGATAAAAAGATAAAGCATATGTCCTTCCTCAGGAATCAAAGTATCTTCATGCTAAAATTCATTAAAATCGTTTCAGCGATTTAGTCGTAAAAGCGTAACAGACAGAGTTCCTTTCGCATTTATTACTTTAACAGGGACGTAACTATAGGAAGTAACCTACAAGATAAAAATAAATATTACCGTCAATAAGAGTTAGCTTTGAGATCTGAGTCTGGCGTGGTATGTGATATAATTTTGTTTCAAAACTAAATATTTGTCATAGAATCCCGTCAATACAGGTGTTTATATTGAAGATATTATATTGAACTAAACTTCTAAGAACAAATTTTTCATAAACTGTTTACGGTATTAAATAAAAGAATATTTCTTAGGAACTTACAGATTTTTCTTTTCTTTTCCTTTTAATGTACTGTTAGCTTTCTTATATGTATGCGTGTGTACGTGTGGGTATACGTGTGTTCTTTGTGGAATTAGTGTGTGTAAAGGAAAGTGTTTATGGAAACATTATAAAATGTCAAATGCAAGTAGTTGTTTCGTGAGAGAGGCCAAATAGGCCGGCTCGACCGGATTTCAGCAATTTTTTTGATGCTTTTCGTCGAGGGACTGTGATTAACTGAGCTCAAAGCTCTCTCTTCTGATTCTAGGGGGAAAAGGATCAAAGGGCGGCAAAACTTTATGACTCTTGAGTTGCCGGCGGTAGTCACTTACCATCAGGTGACACGTCTGCTCGTTTGCTCCCTTATACCTTAAGAAATGAAAACTGTTCAATATAAAATAATAATAATAATAAATAATAAATAAATTTATTT